AAAAAAAAAAAAGCAGTACGTGCTAGCTACGCTAACGTCGCCCTAGTGTCCACGAAATCTTGGGTTTGATGCCCCCCCAAATAAACCTGAGGTACTTAAATTCTACAAATCCAAAAGCTAAATAATGTGACCTGTGCAACCTACGGGTTGGAGCACAGCACTGTTTTGTTACGTAAGTCGTGGGGATCTGGGTTTGACTCCTGCGGGCCTGGGGCAGGGTGACAGTTTAGGACATCAGAATTTCCTGAGTACCAGCTGTGTGCCAGGCACTGTGCTAGGCGCTTAGAAGAGACCAGAATGAAAGTAAATAAGATTCTGGCCCCAAAAGAGCACAAAGACATCTGAATAGACAACTGTCAAATACAGAGAATATGTGTTAAGTCTGCTGTATTTGATAGTTTTATATTTCAATGTGGTAGTCCAAATTTTATATTTCGGTGTGGTAGCTGATCAGGATAGAAAATGTATGGACCACGAGCTTAAATTCTCATGGCTTTCAGCGTTGACTCAAAGCAGGACAGAGTGCCCATGTCATGCCTTTAAAGATTTACGATTGTTTATTTTAGAGAAAAGTTTATGACTAAACTGCAAAGAAAATAAAAATTTCAACGCTTTCAGAATGAAAAACAGTATAAAAAAGTCAAATAACAGTATCTGCAATTCTACAGAATTCCATTAGTGATAGAAGTGGAAATTATTGACACGGTTTTAGAGATGTACCTGTAATGAATTTCACAGAAGATAAGAAATCCTTCTCTGAATCCTGTCATTTTGCCAAAACAGTAGAGTGAGAAGAAGGTACTTCAGCTGCAGTGTTTTTTGAGATCCTGATAGTAACATAACTATTAAAAATAATCAGCACAGCTTTGGAGGTATTTTGAGTGGTAGGTAAATTGATGGTGTTGGTCTGGAGTGTTGAATTCTAGGAAATAATCTCTACCCTCTTTGATTTCCCCCAAGAAGAAACATGCTTTAAGAATGAAAGGCCCACCTACTGATTAGGGAAGTAGTTTTATGAAGTTGTGATAGACTGATTTGTTACGAGTGTTAAGGGGAAGTCTAATCTTACTGGAAGAAAACACTGTTCAGATACATGTTTATTCCCAGCCCAGCTTGGAGGAGAGATTGGCTTTCATTAATCTGGTATGTGTTCCACATTTAAGTATTACGTTTGTTGTGAGTTACAGTTTTCCATTGCGTTTTTGGTGCTGCAAAGCTACTGTGAGTTCTTGTCTGAGGGTTTGTTAATATCTCCACTGGACTGGACTTTCTGAGGAGTAGGTGGCATTTTGGGCTTCTCCCGCTGAGTATTTAGAATACCATTCGAGGTTGTTTAGCGGGAGAGGATTGAGGTGTTGATGCTGATAGCGAAACCGTGGGTGCTTTCCCCTTCATCCTTCATAGATTTAGTAGTCAGATTTTAAGTATTGGGCATTAATTCTCTCAAGGAAATGGATCTAGATTTTGCATATTGTAGTTGACCAAAAAGTGGTGCCTCAAGGAGTGTATTTATTTCTTTTAGATACCCCATGTTTCCCCATCACCCCAGGAGTCTGGCCGGAGACTGGACTACACCGTGGGAGAATCCGCAGTGGTGTTGCTGGAACAGACACATTTCTAGTTGTATGAGGTGGCCTGGACACTATTCTCGCACTCCCTACCCGTACTTGAGTAGCAGGCATTTCTCACTGAAGTGGAGGCCACCTTGTTTGTTTGCATCTAGAACTCAGTTTCCACACTGTAACTGGAGATCCGACCACCTGAACCAGACATCCTTGCTTCACCTGTCTAGTTACATCATGAACTCAGAGGGAGATGAGCCTTCATCAAAGCGAAGAAAGCACCAAGGTAAAGGTGACGGTTATCTTGGAAGGAATAGATATAAATGGTAGGCGCAGTTGGAGCTGTCACAGTGAACCCTTAAAGCCTCCTTTCTGTAGGTGTCACAGGCATTTGGTGTTAGGAAAGAAGTTGTTTCTGAAATGAAATCTTTATCTTTATCTTCAGTGGTATATTTCTGGCCATAAAAACAGAAGTGACTACACATGGAATAAGATTGGAAAAGAATGTAGAAATAGATTAAAACCCTTACTTTAAGAATAATTTTCATATTCAGTATTTTTGAAATTAAAGTCCTTTGATGACTTGAAAAGTAATAGATGTATTCTTGGAAGTCACAGATCTAAAATTTAATTTTGTATTTTCATTTTTATTGGTAACTGTTAAAGCGAGCATGGTAGTGCATGCTTGTAAACCCAGCCACGCGGGAGGCTGAAGTGTGAGGATTGCAAATTCACTGCCAGCCTGGGCAACTTAATAAGGTCCTATTTTTTTTTTTTGCTTT